ACCATGACGGAAATCAGATTCTTTTGCCCAGAGACATAGTGAAGAACTATCTGGCACTTTCTCAACTAGGGAGACCCCAATATAGACATCAAAATACTTTAGTCCTCCAAAGGGCACCCCTGATTTTGGGAACACCCCATCTAACTGGACCCAGGTTCTTCATCGCCTTGGCGAACTCTGCCCAGTCCTTTATGCATACATCAGGGAAAGCCAGGCAGGCAAGCAAGCAAGGGCCAAAGGAGAGGTCAGATAAATTATAGCCACGTGACAGGGAAGCTCGCATGCGCCTTTAAATTTTCGAGATGCTGCGGCATGCCTAATCTAAAGGTCTGGATCAGCCATGTTGATGGCAGGCTGGCTCGATAGGCACCAAATCCATGTCGTGTAGTTTGGCAGGCCAGACGAGCCCCTAGGCCGAACTTGCGGAAGATCGCATCCTCGTGTTGCAGGTTGTCACGGAAATCAACAGATAACCCCCGCCCCCAGAGAATCTCAACATAATGTAAAGATGGAAAGACGAAATCCCTACTCACTTGAGGAAAGACTAGTATGGACAACATAGAACCCCCCCACATCTACAGCATAATATACGATAATCCTCATTATACGGGCTCCCATGGGCTCCCCAAAAGGGGCTCTTATTTTTTGGAAACCCCGAGCCCTATCAATCCCTGTTAACCCATAAGCAATCCCCTTCCAAGGGGTCTTAGGCTAATGTAGGAAGTTAGGGACTATATTAACAAGGAAATCGAAGCTATAATCTGCCAAGGATTTCGGCAATTTGGGGTGTAGGGTTTTTGGATTTAGGGGTTGAGGCTTTCGACTTTCAAGGCCCCGCTTGCACTATGGCTTCCCTTGTATAGCCCCCCTTGTACTAACCGATACTAACCCTCGCAAAATTCCACTTCAATCAGCGTTACTTATGCATTAGGGTTGGTTAAAACTAGCGAATACGTGGGAACTTGGGGGGGAGTAGGAGACCCCTTGATTAAAGGGACTCCGCTTGTTTTGCGAATTCCCAGTTTAAGGAACCTCCGGCTATAAGGTTCTCCATAGGGTCTTGTATTATACTAGGGTATGTATTGGGGTTATATTGGGATAATGGAAAAGAAAATGGAAACTACTATAATATATAGAGGGTATATTAGGGGACAACTCCTCCAAGCCTGAAGATTTAAAGGCAACACATAGGCAAACTCCTAAAACCTAGGGGATCTATGTACCTCAGAAACCCTTAACCCAAACATCTTGAACCCCAAGCCCTAAACCCCTAAACCCCTAAAACCCTAAGCCCTAAAACCCTAAGCCCTAAACCCCTAAACCCCTAAAACCCTAAGCTTAAACCCCTAAACCCCTAAA